GGCGGATCCCAGGTGCTCTTCCTGCAAGCCCAAATGAAACGAAAGCGCGGGGAAAGAGACCCAATCCTAAAACTTGAACTTCGACGTCATCCGACTTTGGACTGCGCTGAAGGGGTCTTGGGGTTTAGGCTACCTTAGGATCTAGCATTTGGGGTTTACAAGGCTTCGGAGTGAGGTTTGCCCTATAGACCCAGATAGCATATTTCAAGGACTTATTATATATTCGTTTCGACTTCATAATAAGGAAACCCTAAACCCTAAACCCCACAAAATCCCAAAACCCTAAACCCTAAACCCTAAACCCTAAGAAAGGTAGGGTTTTGTAGGGTCCAAGTAGGGTCCTTGGGGAACTTTGCGAGGCCTGGCGCAGCGTCGAGGCCAAGAGCCAGGTGGCTGGAGACGGTGTCGCCATAATATAGGATAATATAATATAATCTATTATATCATATTATATTATTATTATTGTTGTTATTATTATATTATATATATAATGTATATATAATGTATATGTATATCTATGGATTTTTTGGGACTTTGTGGTTTAGGGTTTAGGGCCTAGGGTCTCCATTAGGGGTTTAGGGCTTGGGGCCTCAAAGTTAAGGTTTATTTAGGCCTCAAGTTTAGGGTTTAGGGCTTAGGACCTCAATTAATTAGTGTTTAGGGCTTAGGACCTCAAGTTTAGGGCTTAGGGCCTCAAGTGTAGGATTTAGGGCTTAGGGCCTCAACCCTACACGCCCATTTCAAGCCTGTTTTCAGGAACAGTGTCCGCAAACCAACAACAGAGATCAGAAAGAAGCCTTCCAGAGCTCGTTTTATGGTTTGGGGTATAGGGTTGCGGGATGTAAGGTTTAGAGGTTTAGGGTTTAAGGGTTAGGGCCTCGGACCTGGAGGCCGGGGTTGCATGCAGCCCAAGAGCGGCCGCGGCCATGGCGGCAAGGGCCATATGGGTAGTTCTCAAAATTAGGGTCCCTTTTTGGGTACCCAGTATGGTACGGCACCCTGAACAAAAGGAACCCAAAAAGGGACCCTAATTTGAACTACCCTATCCACCGTGAGTGAGAGCACCCCTTGGATAGGGACCTTGGGCGCAGAGAGCACAACGGGCGCATTGGCGACGGCACATGGAGAGCGGAAACGTCCAACCGGCTATCTATAGGAGGGCCACGAAGGCTTGGGCGACATCCTGCCAGAGTAAGAGGAGATCCCTGCAACGCAGGACTTGGTGCGTGAGCTGAGCCCCTGCGAGTCCGTTCCGTCGGTCCCAACAAGCAAAGACAAGATCAAAGCTGGCTGGGACTCCGAGAGTGCTGTTCTCAAGAAGCCGGCAGCTAAAGTGGCTATGAAGCGGCCAGCAAGAGCAAGTTCCAGTAAAGCGACGGCTGCTGAGAACTCCAGTCCCAGTGGCCTGCTCCCGAAGGGAACTCGTTACAAGGCCACATTCGCAAAGGATAAATCCTATGTGCAGTGTTTTTGTGTCAACAGCCAGAAGTACAAACTTCTCGTCTACCTTAAAGACGAGACGAACCAGAACAAAGGCTTTAATGTTCATATTACCATATGGGGATCCATAGTATCAGGTTATACTGGTGATGTATACATCCTGCATTACCTTAAGGACCCTAAATACTATGGGGAATTATGGTATGTTCCTTATTAAGGGTCATGCAGGATTTATATCATCAACCGTATCCTTACAGGCCAAGACGCCAACTGCCGGTGGTGCCGTTAGCACATGCCCGAAGGGTCCAAGTACCTGATAATTCATATACTCTCCCAAGTGGTAACACCTACATAACTACTATCTGAAACCTAACTGTACCTAGTAGTAACCTAAATAACTATTATCCGAAACCTAATTGCACCTAACTATTGGGTCCCTGTGGACCCGGTAGGGATGTAGCACATCGAACCCTATTAAACCCTAAACCCTGAAACCCTACTTAAAACCTAAACCCTAAGCCCTAAACCCCTATAAACCCCTAAATCCTGGGTTTAAGAGGGTTTAGGGGTTTCGGGTCTATAGGGCCCAAAACTCAAAAACCCCTGAGCCTAAACCCGCAGGTGATACTGGAGAATGCTGCCCTCAGCGCCTCCGCCGGTGGGTTCTGCTGGGCACGCGCCGTGCGGCTTTTTGCCGGCGCTGTGGCCGCTGGGGCCGAGGCCAGGTTCAGGGTTTGGGGCTTTAGGGCCTATAATGTAGGGGCTTTTTTTGGTTTTTTATATAAGTGTAGTTTTAGGGTTTTAGGGTTTTGGGGTTTAGGGTTTGGGGTTTGGGGTTTAGGGTTTGGGGTTTAGGGTTTAGGGTTTGGGGTTTAAGGGTTTTGCCCATAGGCCCCGAAGTAGTTCCTTTTTGGGATTACCTGAGAGGATTCCAAAAATAATCCACAAAAAGGAACTACTTAGGGGCCTATGGGCCATGCTTGGTTTCTTATTGTAATTATAGTTTTAGGGTTTTGGTGTTTAGGGTTTAGGGCTCCTAAAAAGGGATCTATGGGGTGGTATGGGGTGTACGGTTTTTAAGGATTAATATAGGTGCCTTAATAGCTACCAGTACTATTTTGGGGAGTTCCTTATCATAAGTATAGTATCATTTGCCCCAAAACCCTATTCGAATTATTGAGGCCCTTATAAAAACTTGGACCCCTCAGAAACTTAACATGTTTTGGGGTTCCTGCATCTGATTCCTTATATAAGTCTTTAAAGAAGGCAGGTTCTTGGGTGAAGGTAGGGTTGAGGGTCCGGGCTTGGGTGTTGAGAGACTTAGGATCCAAACCAGACGTGGCTTCATCGGCCTTTTCTTCGGTAGGTCCTGAAACCCTAAACCCTAAACCCTAAACCCTAAACCCTAAACCCTAGACGATGAACCCCAAGATGCTAAGACACGTATGTTCAACAGGCAGGATGTGAACGATGGCCAAACCTTCAGCCTGCTGCTTTTGCAACAAACCCTAGCACCTAAACCCCAAACTCTAAAACCCTAAAGTTTATAGGGACTGTACAGAAAAGACGTAGGTTGTGGTGGGTTGAGATCTAATTAGCCGGGGGATCCTTAGCAGGGAACCCGTGCCCTACGAATCCCTTCTGTAAGCCCTTTCATCTGGGGCCCCTCAGAGTTTAGGGTTTAGGGTCTAGGGGATGGCGTAACCAGTTACTACTTAGTGAACTTAGTTAGGATCCTACTTGGTAACCCCCAAAAGGAACTACAATGGAGACTGTAGGTACATGGGTTCCTGGAAGGGTCCCAAGCAGCTAACAACTAGGTGTTTGCATTAGGCATTTAGGATAGCTCGTAGCAACGTAGATTGGTTTTTGCAGCACTGTTCCATCATTCAGGCACGCGGATCTTTAGGGTTTATCCTGCCTGACAACCTAAACCCGAACACATAGCAATATGGGGGGGGGTTGAAAACTTACCACCGTCAATCGAGAGGGTTCCTTAATTCAATTTCAGTATATTCTAGTACTCTATCCTCCCGCCCGCTCCACGATAAACACAAAATCAACATCAAACCCCTACAGCATTTCTTGCGAGCCTACACCCTCAAGCGCTTAATCCTGAGCCGCCAATCCCCCAACCCTAAACCGAAACCCCTGACCCCAAAGCCCGGGCCCCCGAATCCCAAAATCATAAACACCAAATCCTAAAAAACGCTAAATCCCTGATATCGGGGCCTCAACATTTACAACTATTGTTCCCATCGGGCTCCAGACTGCAACTATACTATAATAATAGCATGGATAACAGACCCAACAATCCTATTCCAACGATTTCGACGCATACATTAACCCTAAACCCTAAACCCTAAACCCTAAAGCGTGGCTCCAAAAGCTCTTTCACCCTAAAGAAATCCCTTACGAGGAGCCCTAGTCTTTGTCATTGAGGCCCCTATGTTCGACCCTAAACCTCTAGACCCTCATCCAAGTACGCCCCTAAACCTTGAACCCCTAAACCCCAAGTCTTGAGCCCCCTAAGCCCCTTAAGCCCAACCCTTGAACCGTTAAACTTTACCTCAAACCCAAAACCCCTAAACTTTACCCCAAACCTAAAACCCCTAAAACTTTACCCAAACCTAACACTCCTAAGCCACTAATCCCGGAGGCCACGTCCGTGACCTTCGGCGCCCTCGCCGACGCCTTCGCTCAGGGTGGGCCCCTAGGCGACATCTGATAGGCTTGCTCTAAATTCCGCATCCTCAACCCAAAACCCTATAAACCCTAAGCCCTAAACCCCAAAACCCTAAACCCTAAACCCCCAAACCCTCAACCTTAGGCCCTAAACCCTTACACGAACCTTGAGGTACTTCGTTTTTGGATTTAGGTTTTAAGAAATCAAGGATCCAATAACCATCTGATTTGCCCTAGAAAGAAGGGGTCATAACCTACTATTTGGCAGGGTCTACCTGGGAACCCCCAAACCGACAATTTGTTAGGGTACCCCGCAATAAACTAGGTTTCGGGTTCGGAACATAGGCGGGTGCACAAGAAGTTGGGTGTCTACGCTTTTTCTTGGGTTCGTCTGTCGTCTACGCTTTTCTTTGGGTTTGTCTGCCTACCACATGCCGATCGAATCTTTTCCATTGCCGCGATATCCTGCCGTCAGTAGAGTCTGTTGCTCCACACAACTTGGCATTGCACCAGGTAGCGCGCCAACACAGCTTTGCAGATCTGCCTTGTCCCGACCCTTCTGCTAGCTCGTGCGACTTTTCCTACAAAGTCCTCGTCCATCGGCGTCGACTCTATTACCGGATTCAGTACGTACTCAAGGGATTTGGAGCCGATGAAAAGCGAATGAAAAGTATGGTAGAGCATATGGCTCTTTGGGTAAGCCGGAAATCTGAGGTGTCCATGCTGGTAGAAGATGTAGGCAAGCTTTTTGTATGCCTGAAGAAAGTATAACCCCAGCCGGCCAAGCCGTCTGGCTTCTGCAGCAGTGAGCCACACGTCGCCACGGTAGAGCTCCGACATTGTCATATTCAAGGCTTTGGCGGCTGCAGCCTGAGTCAGACCGAATCTGGTAACTGTTGTATTTTCCCCACTAGAACCCTACATAATATGTCCTGTAAATCTTCAAGCAGACAAGAAGCGATCAGCTCAAAGACTTCGCAGCCAGACACACGATCGACTTGTGTCTCCGAAAGATGCTGCACATACTTGCACAAGACGGTCGTTGTGCTGCCTTTGTGCCAGTGTCCATCCGGCATCTCGGTCAAAGAATGGCAACCAAGGGTGTCTTTGGAGATCTTCTGAATGTAAGGCTGCTGCTTCGTGTCCTTTGTGGGCCCCTGGGCTTATGGGTGTTTGTCACAATCCTGGGTTATTCATGGGTTCCCTTTACCACCTAATATTGTATACTCAGACTAAGAATTTGTAGGGACCCTGCCAAAAACTAGGCTTCGCTAGGTAAAAGTCATGGTTCTACGATCAGTCTTCGGAACGGAATGATATGTTTCCCAAACCGCATGATAATCAATGACGAGAGTCTCTGCAGTACTGCAGAAAGTCTTTGGTCATCGATTCAAGTCTGGTTTCAACACTTGTGCCATTGAAAAAGTCCATCATGGATACCAAAGAATTGGCGGCGAATGCTTTTGCAATACCAAGTTGCGCGTTGTGCCAGATGTCTGGCCGATGAAAGGACGGTTTGTTTCCCTGGTCGCACATCAACAGCCGCGTAAAGCTAGCCTCGCGGTCCCACGGTAGATCGACTGTGGGCATCGAGTCCAGAAATGCAGGATGTTCTGACCTCTGTTGAAATCTCGCAGCAATACTTCGGGGTTTAGGGTGCTTTGGGTTTAGGGTTTAGGGCGGGTGTGTGGTTTATAGGGTTTCGGGTTTAGCATGTATGAGTTTAGGGTTTATGGTTTAGGGCATATAGGGCTTTAGAATTTTCGATCAGGTATACTCGGAAAGTCTCTTCCAGAGCAAAATAAGGTAAGTGGCACATCTTCGTAAGGATACCCTTCAAATCCTGCGTAGCAAAGGTGACAGATTCCCTTATCTGGTTGTTTGGAGCTTGCTTGCTTCGGGCAGTTCCGATAAGATCGGTTCAAATTGGCAATATCGACCAAATATGACCAATCGCCTTTGTTGCCCAGAGCCACCATCCACAAGTGACCAACAGACAACTGGATACCCTGCCAGCCGAGGGAAGCCAAGTCCTGGACAATGAGCTCCAAAAGGCCCTCGAGCATTTCTGGGCTGTTGCTGTAGTCCGAACGAAGCATCGTGGCAGCAAGGAAGCGGGTCGTGTAAGCATGACCATTGAAGTTGGGTCGCAATTTCAAGTCCTTCACTTTCTTTTGCACTTCCTCGGCCGAAAGGCGTTGCCCCACACCCTTTCCGAAAGCAACCTGCCACTGCAGCAGGAAGATAGCCTTCTTCTTGAGGGTCCTCCCCTCGTCGGCGTGTATGTAGTAAGGTAGACTCCTGGAAAGGTCTATCTTACCAGCCTTCGATTGCTTGAAAACATCGTGATTCGGTGACATTTTTTGAAACCGTGACCAGAATGTCTTTAACACGGGACCGAGGTCTTCAAGTGACTTATAATCTCCCAGCAGCAGGTCCAACCTTTTGCTCTCATCCATGTACCGGATAAAGTCACTAGGCTTGATCCAGGGGTACTCGGGCTCGCTACCGATAGCACTCTTAGTCACTTTCACGGCCAAAGAAAGTCCATGCTTCCGAAAAGCACTGTAGGTTGCTTCTGCCTGGTGTGGGATGTTGAAAACCAGCTATTTCAAAGACATCGTACTGCAACCTTACAAACCAGAGAAGACAGAGGAAAGACTGCATTGGCCAAGTGACCGAATGAGACGGGTTGGTTCTTGCCAGTTTGCTCACGACGGGATCTTCAGTGGAAATACCTTTCCGCCGATCTCTTTCTCGTACAGCCCGAGCACATTCCAGCACTCGCCGGCAAGGAACCTGCACTAGGATCGCCCAGGTTGCTAAATTGGGAAGAGAGAGGATTCCAAACAAGGCTGTTAATGCATCGCACACTGAGGCGAAAGCGCCAGCGCTGATCAGCGAAGCGAGATTGCGACCCACAGGACCGGGACCTGGCTAGACAAAGGGTGAGTTGGCCTTTGAATATGTGGGCATGCTGGGCAGTCGAGTTGTAATTGCGCTTCGGGCGTGGCTTTTGCGATGACACAAGCTCCCCTGCACCTGCGTCCGTCTGAAACTTTACACGTCACGTCGATGTACAAACATCACAGCAGCAAAACTCTCCGGTAGGATCCAGAATCACACTCCTGATTGCTTTGCAATCACTTTTTCTTGGCTCCAGCTCGCTTCTTAGCTGGCTTCGACTCTTCCTCAGGTTCTTCCTCTTCCGCGATCACACGTTTCGGGGCTTTTGCCTTGGCTTTGGCTTTGTTCTTGGCAGCAGGAGCAGTGTCATCACCGTTGTCCCGCTTGAACTCAGCGAGAATGCTCCTCAGAGTTCAATGTTTGACACGGACCACATTCACATGGAAGCCCTAAGCCTTGAACACGATACCCTATAGTCTGAAATTGTAAACCTTGAACCCTAAACTCCAAACCTGAGTGCCAATAAAACCCTGATAAGCCCTCCACCCTAAACCCTTGCGGTTCCTTAGGGTTTCGAGTTTAGGGCCTAGTGGGTGGTGCATTAAGCAAATTCGGTTCCTTAGGGTTTAGGGTTTATAAGCTCCTGTGTATCGTATACCTGAAACCGTTAACCTTAAACCTCTATAAACCCTTATAAGGACTTAAAAAACCGACAACCTATAAACCCCAGCACCTCAAACCCCTAAGCCCACCAATAACCCCCACACCCCACCACACCCCCTCACCGTCCCGTCTTGAAGCCCTGTCATGCAGGCAAGTTGCTTGAAAGCACTCTCTTTGGCAAGCATTCTGGCACACCTGAGTCGATAAACCCATCGCATGAAGATATTGGGCGAGGGGTTTACAGTCATCCGTGCAGGCGTGCAGCGGTCCACGGGCTCGGGATTTGCATGCAGCAATCTTGTCTTGCAGCCTGGCAAGCCAGTTTCGTACATGATGGATTGGGGGTGACTGGGCTTTAATTAAGACCAGCAGCGTCTCCGAGTAACCATCCAGACTGATCGCCTCAATGCACTCAGCAATCGCATCCTCTTGTGTCTCCAAAGCCTCGCAGATCGCCACACAGTTGTCCTTGAACCTGGGCGGCCAATTGTAGTAGGGTATAGGTGGCCTGGTTCGATGCACATGCAGGAGCTTTAAGTCAGCGACTGCTGTACACGAGGGTTGCATGTGCCATCCAGCTCGGACAACCAAGAAGACACAGTGGCATGCTTCTCAGTCAGGAGATCCAGAAAACTCGTAGCATCGTCCCGGGCCTTCAAACTCTGCACGAAACTTTGCAACCCATAACCCGCCACACTTTTGAGGTCTCCCCGGCCTTGTCAAGGAGTGCTGCGGCCTTGCCGGCAGGGGCCTTGTCGGGTTTCGGGTCGAAGCTCATGCCCCCATCGCCCACGAAGAGTTCCGGCTCATCATCCTCCGTTTCCTCGGTGTAAGGGTTTAGGGGTTTGGGGTTTTCCTCATCAGGATTTTTGCGGTTTTGGGAGGGCTAGAATTCACGACATGATTTATAACGACCCAAGCAGCTCCCTCTTCCCCCACACGGGTCTCGTGAGTCTCGCTCTGGCGCAAAGTGGTTGTCTCCGAAGTATCAACGAAGTACTCTTCGACAGACTCGTCGTATTTCCATTTCCTGGGAAATGGGAAAGCTGAGTAGATTATAAAAGCGGGAGGCCGGCAGGAAACCCACAGCCATTGAAAAAGCCGCAATCTCATGTAGTTCTACACTCAGAGCCCGGAACACAAACCCTTCGCATGTTGCAAGCTCTGGGCCGAGGCCTTGCATGGCTCAGTTATTCCAATGAACTCCTAGCGAAGTCGCTCCACTGTTAAATCCCGGAGCCGGAAACCTAAGCCCTGAAGCCCAACCCTCGCATTTCTAATACCTCTGCGGGAGGCAAACCCTCGGGAACCCCAGCACATTGGAGTTTCAAAAAGTGCTTCGGGGCATCAAGCCATGGCGCTGCATGTTGACGGTTATTTACACACAGGGTTTACGGACAAGGGGCTTCGGCTAATTGTGACTATGCAGCTTGCCGGGTGTGAAGGTTTGTGGCTGGTCCGATGTAAAATGCTGTAGATCATTTTTCGCATGCGCAATCACAAGCATGTCATGGTCTGTCGTCCATGCGACGGAGTCCTCCCAACAGATCGTAACAACCATGTGCCGTGCACATGCCTCCATGATCGACAAGCTCTTTTTGGCAGCAACTTCAGTCCATTTGTTGGTGTCTTTGCGAGACAGTATATTGGTATATAGCAGCAGCAGCAGCAGCAGCAGCAGCGGCGGCAGCAGCAGCAGCAGCATCATAAATTCTTCATAATGAGGAATCTGTAGCTGTGTTTAGAAGTTTAGGGAGTCATCGGTATAAGCAAATACGTTTTATGTGCGTATTGAGGGGTTAGGGTCCTCAGGGGTATAGATAGACAACAGAAATACATAGCACATGACATAGTGGGTTTCGGGCACAGGAAGATCTGTAGTGATTTCGGCAATGGTTGCCAACTTCAAAAGAGCTTGAGACTTCTAGGGTATTTTAGGGTTTGGATTTCGGGTTCTAGGACAGCCCACCCGACACCCTAGAACCTAAAACCTTTAAGCCTCAACGACAAAACTGGGTGCACCAACTTCAAACAGCTCGCGGCTTCAGAGCTGGAGGGCATTTTAGGGTATGGGTTTCGGAACCACAAATCGTTAAACTTGACATGGGCGCGAAGATTCAAGCCTACAGGGTTTATGTAAACGGCTTTAGAGTGCTTGCTAGTGGTTTTGAGAAAGACAAGGTGTTGGTCCAGGGTTGCAAAGCAGCGGGATCCTAAACCCTATAAGCCCTAACCCCTAAGCCCTAAACCCTAACCCCGTGTAGCCCTGTAGTAGCCCTATAGATCCTATACCCAATAGACCCTGAACCCCCAAGCCTTGTAAACCCTAAACCTCTAAACCTGTAAGCCCTGAACCCCCAAACCCTATACATGGCCTGAACTCAGGATTGCTCTGGCTGCTGCTGGGTCGAGACTCCACAAGTTGCATGGCTCACAGCTTTGGGTGCTAAGGTGCTTTTGAGGTTGTGTTTTCGGGACATCAAACAATCTAGCCACAAGGACACAGTCTGGTTTGGTTCTTGCCAAGCGACCGCACTAAAGTTGTTGGAAAGCGACGACAGTAGCCGATGATCTTGGCGATGAGCTGCCTCGGGTGGAATAGCAGCATACCATCACATGTGTGAATGCAGGCAACCAGTTTACAATAGACATAAACAGTTTGTGTAACTGCTGGGGTGCTTGGAGTACTTCAGATCTACCCTCATTCGTTCTTCTGTTAACCAGCATCCGGTGATGACCTTCTCTTTGCTCTTGATGCGAATGGTGGCTTTGGCAACAAACTTCGCCTGCTCGTAAGATATGTAAGATATTCAGTTGAGCAGACCTAGTGCAAGCTGATTTCATGAGTGAGCCTTCACCTTGTTGCGGGTCACAGCATTGTTTTCGGTGCCACATACTTTAATAGCTTCCAGGAGGCTTAAAAGTAGAACTTCGCGACTGGTACCACCTTTGAGCCATTCCTCCCGGATCCATGGTTCCACGGCACACCTGCCCGTCTTCCTCTTGATGTCACACATTCGGCGCAGTCTGGCATCCACTGCCTTCGGACTGAGCTCCTGCACAGCATGCACAGTGTGTAGGTTACAGACCTTTAACACGGCTAAAGAGCACCATGCATACAGTTCAGAGATCCTCACCGGTTGTGTCGAAGCGCTCTTGCAGCTCTTCCTGGGACATCGCCTTCAGGTTCCTGACAGCCTCGGCCTCATCCTTCGGCTGCTTCACCTTGGTGAGGCACTGGCTGGACTTGGGATGTCCGGGTGGGGATGCAGATGTACTCGGAAACGGAGTCGTGCCGGGCTTGTCTTTGCCGACTGGAGCTTCAGTGGGGCTGGCAGTGGGTGTAGGTGAGGACTGAGTTGCCGAAAGCTTGCGCACCATTGCCTTCAGATTCTCAATCTCCTGGGCTTGCGACTCTATCACTGCCTGCGACGCAGCATCCCAGGAGGTCGTAAGACTTGTCGGGGTCGGTGGCACTTGGGCATCATGGCCTTTGTCCTGCAAGGATGGGGCATCAAACATGGGGAACTCTCGCCAAACCAGTCCTTCTCCACGACAGGTTCTCGGGGCTCTCCTTCATCTGCTGCTTCTGCTTCCTGGAGGAGCAGCAGCGAATGCATCATACATAGTTAATATAATCATGGACTTGCGGTCCTCTGAATCCAATGAAGTCACAGCCAAGGCCATGTTCTGCGTTTCGCCCTAGACACGAGGAAGCTGCACTTTGACACGTGTATGGAATGCACACGACGGATTGACAAGCAGCCTCCCGGATCAACCATTGTTTCGCCCTCTGTGCTGCCTCAGAAACACCGGACGATAGAAAGCTGTACATGCTGTTGACTAAAACAGCAACCTTGCACCCGAACTTACATAATTTAAGCTAGGGCTCTTCGATCTCTCGCGCAAGAGTAGCATCATCGAAGTCTGCGACTGTGGGGAGCCCCCCCCTTCGAAGCCTCTGACTTCACCTGGCGCAGGACGAAACTGGCTCCACGGGCCAGCTCGCTGCAAGACCAGGCCTTGCTGAGCATTTTCTGTGGTCTGGAGGGCTCCATCACTAGACGCTTGAAGCCAAAGCAACACTATGTGTGGTACGCTTATTCCTGGTGGCTCTTTGGGTTTCTTTGGGGTTGGCGGTACGCTATTTTACGCTATTCTTTGGGCTTAATGCGGTATTCTTTGGGGTAGCTACGGTTACGCTTTTCTTTGGGGTAGCCTGGTACGGTTTTCTTTGGGGTTATTATGCTATTCCTTGGGGTTTCTACGGTTTTCTTTGGGGTCCTGGGTCCTGCTTATGTAGCATACACAAAGACTCTCACGAATGCCATGAGTGTCGCTTTATGGAGCAGACAGAGACATTACTGCAGGGAAACAGAGCGCGAGAGTGGGAGCGAGACAGAGAAGGAGGAACAACAAGGGAGAAGGAGGGAGGAGGGAGAGGGAGAGGGCCACACCACCCCCAGCACATCGACAAGCTGTATAACATTTACGATCACATCTGCTTTTTGCCACTTCCCCTAGACAAGATGCCATTGGTGCTGATCGAGAACCTCCTGCTATATCGGTTGCTCACAAAACAGTAGGGAACACTTGCTTCCATCCTTCGGGAGCATTTAAAGATTTGTTGCCACGTAGGTAGTGGCACACCTCGGTCAGTCTCGCATGCATGTACCGGTCTTGCATAAGACCTGAGTCCTGCCATTGGCTGAAAATACCTGGGCCATCAGGTTTGAAGTTCTCAGACCAGCAAGGTTTCCCGGCCCCGTTGGTCCGGAGCTCTGGCATCAAAGCCGCCATTTTCATTGCAAATGGTATCGGGTACGTCCTCGGAAAACCCAAAGAGCAAACATGGCAAAACATGTGCAGGGTATGAACAATTGAGGGAATGGCTGTGTATGCTTCAGCTCAGCAGTCCCACGGAATTTTCGCTTTCCACAAGAACTGTGTCCGGGAAGCTTGACACTCGTACTTCGGCCGTGGCCCCACTCCTTGCGCTGTTCCTTCGTGAGCGTGCCTCTGTCAAATCGCTGCCCTGCGGCATTGTTCGAGATCGCGACATGTCGTTTGGCATTACCCGACCCCCAGTGCATCATCCACCATCGAAATACATAAACCTCACAGTTCCATGCACACCACGAAGGTTTTCTACATGCTTCACACAAAGCACATGCACTGGCATGAATATACTAGCTGGTAAGTGGCAGGGAAGTGTGGCTGCAATTGAAGCCACTCAGTGGCAGGGTGCGACACAAAGAGGCTCGTGTGAGGCTGCTCGAGCATGAAGGATCCACCCATTCCCATGATCAGGAGACACAGCAGGATGGACCTCACATGGCAGGCTTAATAAGTTTATGGGGATTCTGCTTTGGGCTGGGCTCGCAATCGATGCTTTTCTATACACAGACCCTATATACACTGTATGGTTGCTATACTCATGCTGCTCGCTTTTGCTGGCTTGTTTGGGGTTTGTGTCGGCCTGCTATAGCCCCGAAACAAAACCGCATTTGCAAGCCTCGGTGACATGGGCAGGGGTGAGATCTATAATATTTAAAGAGTCATGAGGAAGGGACAACCATATGGGGGCGACAACTACAAAGCAAAATGGTGCTTTTTTCTGCATGGTTTGCTGGCTTCTTGTCCCTACTATATAGGTTGAGACGAGGCTTTATTTTCTGCATGGCTTGCTAGCTTCTTGTCTCTTCTAGGTGGAGAGCGACAACTACGGTTAACAAAATGGGGTGCGGTGGGG